TGCACTGAGGCACTCTCAAAGTACAGTACTTTTGTTTGCAATATTTCTCGCAGAAACCTGTTAAAAATCACCTGACCAAGAGGATGCGAATCAAACTAATATATAGATAGAATAATGCTTCATTAATACATTATATTAAAATAAAATTTACATTTCATAAATTTGGTCAGCATACTCTAAACAAAATTATACTATTATAATCATGGCAATTGCAGTTAACAATAAGTAAATGCTAACAAAACATATTATGGACTATTGTACACTTTTTGTATTTTCACATTGAGAACACTGATAACAATTTAGGGGGTGAAGATCACAAGATAACCTTAACTGCAATTCCATTATAAAAGATATTTATCAAACTTTAACTAGCAAATATTGCTATGACATACCTGTACATAGCATCACAAACAACTGGTTAATGTCCGTTATAAGCAACTGTTGCCGCACTCAATATCACATCTGGAGTGACGCCACGTTAAAGATCACATCTGGAGTGACGCCACGTTAAAGATCACATCTGGAGTGACGCCACGTTAAAGATCACATCTGGAGTGACGCCACGTTAAAGATCACATCTGGAGTGACGCCACGTTAAAGATCACATCTGGAGTGACGCCACGTTAAAGATCACATCGCAACTGCGTTTATATTTATTATTCCTTTTCTACCAAAAGCCCCCCCAAAAAGTTGTTTTGCTAATCATTATGCTTACTAGTATGTCCACCTATAATTGAACAAGATTAAAATTATCCTTATTATTAGGACAAAATTCCATGCAAGCAAAAATCAAATGCAAGAATTAACCAAAGTAATAAGTCAAAGTGGAAACTAAATTCTTCAGCTCTGCATTATCAGATATAATAAAATATTGAATTACACAAGCTTTTTAATTTTATGCAGCTCTCTTAATACTGTAGTATTAAAATATATTAAAGACTTTCAAATGTTCTCGGTTCAAACTACCGCTATTACCCAGCGATGAAAAAAATATCACTAATTTGTATTTCGTAGTACCATAATTTAATTTGTGCTTGTGTGCGTGCATGGACTACACCGGAGTTTAGAAATGCCTCTACGTACCCTAATGAATGGAGAGCACATATACAATACAGTGTGCGCTAACAACTTTCAGCCCATCTAGTGATTGAACTTCAAGTGACCAGCAGGTATGTCTCACACACACACCACCACTAACAGTTCAGAGTAGTGAAAAATATTTTAACTCATCAAGTGGTGGTCACATGCTTACACATGCATGTACCTGGTCAGTTCTTCAGAACATTCAGAAGAGGGAGGGCCACATACTTTCTAGACACTACTTATCTGGATATGGCCATTTCCTGTTTTGAATTTGTCTGAATAAGAGTGTCTGATAAACTGCCGAGATGAACAGTCAAAATAAAATGGCCCGATAAAGTGGCGAGGCGAGCAGTGTGAACAACACGTACGAGTTGTCGTGAAGTGAGCACCCGTCAGGCCTCGCTGCCTGGTGGGGGAGGGGGGGGGGGAGAAGATGGCACTAGTTTGCCAAGTGACCATTTGAGGCACTACTATAGTGCCTTCTACCCATGTGATATTACAGATTCACGATACATTTTTTATTTCTCACGAGAGTGGAGTGTTCATTCTGTGATTTTGTCGGATACACAGTATAAAAAATCTAGGAACAACCGTGCACCATGTCGGCTTTAAATGCATCGTGTTCGTGAAAGCTTCAACAAGTGGGATAAGTAAAGGAAAGAGGTGAGTGATGACATTGTAGTTGAAATATTTATATTTAAGGTGGAGAGTGGAATCCCGAGAAGTGTTGTGTGTGTGTGCGCTGAATATGGCGTTAGGAAGAATATGCTCTCAAATATTATTAAGCCTAAAGCTACCACCATGACTGTTTGTTTAGAAGTGAAAGTGATACAGCAAACACACATTTTAACATCTGAGGTCACCTCATACCATTAATCTCCACTTCATTCAACTCAACAACATCCACCATCACCTCTTCCATCTAAATAACAATGCTCTATCAACAACAATAAGATTAAATTGCATATCACAACTTCTCATACTGGAGAGTACAAACAAAATACTGTTAAACTTTTGTCATCATATTTATTATTTTGTCCCCTAGATTTTCAGGATGATGAACCACTTTTCCAGACAACAGGTTATGCCTTCAGTCTTGGTGACAAGGCATCCAGAAAGAATATGGCTCTGTATATCTTTGCTCCCAGCTCCCATGACAACAGACCTCAGTCTGGAGCTGAAAAACTAACAACTGACAAACCTGGAAAGAGCGGTGGTGAGTGGGGTGGGGAAGGGACCAGGGAGTCACTGAGGCCTAACTAGAAAAGGGTATTTCATTACATTCAACACCATTCAATGTTGGTTTTTTGAAGGAGCTGAACAATGGTTCCCTGAAGGTAACTATAGAGCAGAAGGAAAAATGGGACTCACCAGGAAGGAGAGCGAACACTAAACTCGAGCAAGAGAACCCGGCACAGAAAATCCGACCCAAGGCAACTCGCGTTCAACGGGGCCAGGAACAAAGACCAGGTACTGAGCTACCAGGACCCTAGCACACCTCCATTACACTCATGCCCCAAGAGCCCCTATAAAAAAGGACACTCCTCAGGCTAGACAAACCAACCATCAACAACCAAGCAAACCTCCCCAACCTTCGCCACAATAGGAGGTGGCCTCAAATAGAGAAAGCGCCCACCAATGCCAAAAGAACAAAACCCATGCATCTAGAGGAGAACATCAAGCTGCTCCCATGCAACACCCACAACTGAGGACCAATATCAGCAGAACATGAAAGAATGTATTCCAGACCAAAGGAGCAGGGAAGAACTGAGGGTAGGAGCAAAACACCACCACCCTCTCTGGAGACCAACACAGCACAGGCAGAGAATGATCCAGCCGGGGGTGAAAGAATGCACGAGATAACTTGGGAAACAACACTGAAGAAGTATCAACACTAAATGCCAACAAAAGTGCCTCTGCCAAAACTGAACAATTAAAGGAGGCAAGATAAGGTACACGTGACTATCGATAAACAACCAACCCCAGAAAGACAAAACCATCAGGACAGAAATGGAGACAAAATGACAGACAACAAAAATTAAGTACAGTGGTGTCAAAAAACCACATACCGCTGCCTCAACAGAGGATGTAGGTGGGAATGCAACAACTCTGCTACCACCTGGACACCACACAACAGGTAATATACCTGTGTCAAAAATGACATACGCATAGATCAGAGGAGAACATTAAGCCAGTAAGGTAAGTCTTCAGACTGAACTGTAGAAAGAGGCAGAGCCACAGATAAGGACCTAGGTACAGACATTGGCTCAGAAAAGCCAGTATCCAAGGATCCAGAAGGATCACCTAGTCCGGGCAAGTCTCCTTCCTGGACAACATCCAGAGGAAAACCTGGACTAGGGAAATGGCTGGGAGGGAGGTGGTGGGGTTATCTTGAGGTTATCTTGAAATTATTTCAGGGCTTAGCGTCCCCGTGGCCTGGTCCTCGACCAAGCCTCCTTTTTGTTACAGAACCCCAGGAAGCAGCCTGTAGCAGCTGTCTAACTCCCAGGTACCTATTTACTGCTAGGTAACAGGGGCATCAGGGTGAAAGAAACTTTTTGCCCACTTGTCTCCGCTTCCACCAGGGATTGAACTCGGAGCCTCAGCACTACGAATCCGAGGCTCTGTCCACTCAGCTGTCAGGCGTCCACTCAGCTGTCAGGCGTCCACTCAGCTGTCAGGCGTCCACTCAGCTGTCAGGCGTCCACTCAGCTGTCAGGCGTCCACTCAGCTGTCAGGCGTCCACTCAGCTGTCAGGCGTCCACTCAGCTGTCAGGCGTCCACTCAGCTGTCAGGCGTCCACTCAGCTGTCAGGCGTCCACTCAGCTGTCAGGCGTCCACTCAGCTGTCAGGCGTCCACTCAGCTGTCAGGCGTCCACTCAGCTGTCAGGCGTCCACTCAGCTGTCGGGTGCGAAGGGAGTGGGAGAAGAAATAAAGTAACCCCCACTAAGACCAGTCCAGGCAAAAGGAAGCCAAAGCAATAGCCTCACAATACGTACTGTAGGGAAACAGACCTGTACAAGAAGGAAGCCACCAGTTACACTAACGCGAGAAGAGGCCCATTTTGGGGTGATTAAATGTTGCCACACAACACTAGACCTAAGTGGCTGTGAATGCTACTGTACTGTATCTTAGCATTAACCACCAAGCAATTTTAAAGATTCTCAAAGATGGCTGAAAAATAAAGAGCTAAACAGTGGAAAGTCATTGATTATTTAAAACTAAATTATAAGGTTAGTTTACATTGTGAATTTGATGTTAGTTTCATTCGCTAAGAATTATGGAATTACGAATGAAGAACTGAGTGAGGGGCACGAGCCAGGAGAAAGTCTCGAGAGTGAACATTTGTTACAATAAACTTGTGTTCATCGATATGCATCGCATAAGGCAATTAACTTAAGATTTTGCTTATTATATGCAGCAATAAAATGTGAAAAGAAAATACAAATAAAAAAATGCAAATAAAAAATATGTGAAGAGAAAATACAAATAAAGAAATGCAAATAAAGAGTATGTGTGTACACTCGCCCAGACATGCATGCCGAGACAAGCTTAGCTCCTGGGCCCCACCTTCCCCGTGTGCTTAGATGAAGGCAATAAATATAGTGTATTTAGCGCCCTCTGATTATCCCGCACATTTAATAGTGCTACACAGCCTTTCCGGCTTGGTGCTTTCTTTGATAATTTACTTATCTTCATCTACTACTTTTATCTAACCCATTTCACTCGACGAGTTCTCTAACGACAAGGTTGCTTCTTGCACCATACCACAGTGACGTCAATAATTACTGGTATACAACCTTCCCAAGTGCTATTTTCTCACTAACGGCAGCATTAATAAGCTCTTGCGTGCCAGTGTTTCAGTACAGGAACCATGAAGACAAGTGTTATGGAGGTGGATATAAAATGTGCTGTAACATGGTCATATAAAAGGCTATTCTTATGTATTTTAATACAGTATTACCAGAAATATACATTACTGTACGCTGAAATGTAATGCACGTTTTCCATAAAATGAAGGTATAACTAAGGCAAATATATATATATACTGTACAGTATTGCTAAAAATAGTACTATCACAATAGTACTATTTCTCACCACATAGTGATGAGAATGATAGTTTTCTATTACATGAGAGTAATAGTTCTTATCACAGCAAGTGAAAAGACCATTCTCATTATTTTACTAAATATCTTCTGTAAAGTCATCCATCTGCTCACATGCCCACCCAACCCAATCAAGCATCTGCAGGAGAGTGGCGTCATCTTTAAAACCCTTCTCTTTCAGAGTTGTTTGAGAGATTCCCTTGATGCACGAAGATATTCCGGAAAGTATTTCCTGAAAAGGAGAAATGAAAGATTAATTATATGGAAAAACCTATAGCTATAAGTGAAACATTTCACTAATACAAATTTATCACTTATAAAAAGTCACTGTTAGTTCAGTGGATTGGTTCAGATTTGATGGGTTAGGTTTTGTTAGCCAAACATACTCTGCCACATCTAAAGCTTTTAACCCTTTAACTGCGCAGCACATCATATGATGTGTTCAGGGACTTGCAGTAACTTGCGCTCCACATCATATGATGTATTGGAGTACTACGCAAGATTTAAATGGCTCGCGGATACACGGGGTTCACCACACCTTCATCAGGGCTCTTGTAAACAGACGCTATTTTTTTTTTAAATCGTGGGCCAAATTCCTGGGTGTGAGGGCCTCAGTATTGAGTGAGCTACCAAGCCTGACGCACGCAGCATGAGCTCACAGCACTGCTGTTCAGCTTGTGACCACAGCATCGCCTAAAAATGCCATAATATACATGTTCTTGCTATTATTTAGTGATGATATTATTACAGAAGACCCCTGACTGTGATAAAAATGACCAGGATTCTGATAATAGCAGGATTGTTGTGATAATTAGCGCTGTAGTGGGAGGAGTAATCTTGGTGGGGAGGGAGGTAGCATTGTCTGCTGACTCTGTGTGACCACCTTTTACTGTCTGGACTCACTATACCAGCTTAGTGGTTCGCTATGGTGAACAAAACATGCAGATACTTATATATAACATCTGTATATAAAAGCAAAAACAGTATGGTGGGAGGAGAATGGTGGCGAGTCAGGTGAGGCGAGGTGAGGGAGGGAGTGGCAGCCAGTGGCGGGCTGCCACTGGCTGCCACTCAGCATACCAACTTAGTGATTCGTTATGATGAACATGAATGTAGATACTTATATGTAACGTGTATATTCAGTGTAATAACAGCAAAAGACGTGTGGGGAAGAAGCCATTTTAGTGATGGGTGTGGCAACATCTGCATGATTTGTCATGTTGGTAGAGGTGGCCACTATGCTCTTTGGGCATTATACCGGCTTAGTTGAACAGTTATGGTGAACAAAACATGTAGATACTTATATATAATGTCTGTATATAGAGGTAATAACACCACCACAGTATTGTTGGGGGTGAAATTTTAGTGCGTCTGACCTTGAATGTGTGAGGGAGGCAGCCGCCAGTTGACTGTGTGTAGCGACGTCTCTTAGTGCCTGAACTAACTATATCAACTTAGTTGTACAGTTGTGGTGAACAAAACATGTAGATACTTATATGTAACGTCTGTATATAGTGAATAAAAGCAAAAACAGTATTGCAGGAGGAGAATGTGGGTGAGTCAGGTGAGTTGAGGGAGGGAGGAAGTAGCAGCCAGTGGCGGGCTGCCACTGCCACTCAGCATACCAACTTAGTGGTTCATTATGGTGAACACGAATGTAGATACTTATATATAATGTCTGTATATAGTGAATAAAAACAAAAACAGTATGGTGGGAGGAGAATGTGGGCGAGTGAGGTGTTGAGGGAGTGAGTGGCAGTGAATGGCTGGCTGGTGTGTGGCGGTCACTCCTCGTTGCTTTTCGACTCATAATACCAACTTAGTGGTTCGTTATGGTGAACAAAACATGCAGATACTTATATATAACCTGTGTATATAGTGTAATAACTGACAAAGTATTTGTTCACTGCTTGATGAACATAATAATTGAAACAACAATATGCACACCATATTTTTGAGAACAACGATGATTCACTCATTTTAATATATAAATATATCACATTACACACCATTGAATAATATTACAGCAAAAAAACTACAAAAAAACAATCAGACACATTGAAATAATTAGGTAATTATCTCTTTGTGGCCACTCCTGCCTGACAGCTGGGAGCAACAGACCGTCTGGGACGCACGCTGAGTCAGCGCCTGTTTTTTGCCAATCTTCCCCGCCCTATAGCGGGCAATATATGCCACTTACGATTTTTTTATTATTGTTCCCATGATCAGAAAACATAAATTAACAGGTTTAGAAGAAAAAACATTTTTTTTTTTTTTTTTTTTTTTTTGGTATGCGCCTGTGGGTGACAAATGCTAAATAGCCCGGAACCACACAAGGGTTAATCACCCAATTATTTTCTAAATTTTTCCAATGAATTCATTCCATTTTTCTAAATGAATGAACCCAAAATGGGCTACCACCTGTGGAGCTTTGTCACTAAACAAAAAAAACAAAAAACAGAAGACAGGCTTTTACTAAAATAGAGGATCAGCGAACTTAAACATCGCAGGCCTCTCGGTAGAGGCTGCTTACCTATCTGTGACTACAGTATATGGGAATCTAGCTCTTTAGTGCCTCGCCTCCTATCCATTCATACTCGGCGTGCTAATTACATCTTTCAACATTAACATTTTCATCACATTTTTTCTTAAATTTGTAGAAGAAATTGGTTTCAACAACCTCTTCCTTCAATGCATTCCACTTGCCAACCACCCATACAGGAAACAAGAACTTCCTTACTTCTCGACTCAATTGTGTGTCCAGCTTCCACTGACATCTACTTGTCCTACCTCTTTTTAATTTAAAGAAACTTCATTTGTCTGCTTTGTCTGTTACCCCTCAAGATCATGTACGTAGTGATCATAACCCTGTACATTTCTTCTCTCCTCTAAGGTTGTCAGGGTGAGTTCTCTCAACCTGTTCTCATAGCTGAGGCCTCTCAATTCTGGTACTAATCTAGTCCCATAGCGTCCCAATGATTTTCCGTCGGCAATGATTTGGCGATGATAATGTAATTATCTAAGTGTAGTTACCAGATGAGAGCTACGCTCATGGTGTCCCGACTTCTCGGTACTCTGTTGTACAAAGCTTTGAAACTACTGGCGGTTTTGGCCTCCACCACCACCTACCTTAGCTTGCTCCAGTTTGTGTGCAGTGTGCGATGATGATGACATTGGGAAATCGAATCATTGCCATCGCCAGTTATTTAATTCCCAATAATTTTCCCAATTCTGGTACTAAAGCAGTCCCAGTGGCGCAGTGGTAAAGCCCTTGCCCAGCGCTTGGGGAGTGCTTTGGCCTGGGTTCGTACCCTGGCTGGGGAGGATTGACTGGGCGCCAATCCTTAATTGTAGCCTCTGTTCACCCAGCAATGAACGAGTACCGAGTTGTTAAACGATTTGGTGGGTCGTATTCCAAGGAAAAATTTGGATTAAGGACCTGCCTGATACACTATGCATGCTAGCAGCTTTACAAGAGTAAGAACTCTTGCATATGTATAAATAAAATAAAAATATAAAAGTTGCAAACCTCTGAATTTCAAGTTTGTGTTTATGCTTCACAAGGTGAGAGTTCCATGCTGGTGCTGTATACTCAAGTAATGATCTCATATAGGAAGTGTGTGCACTTTACATCCTACTTGTTTGGAGTCTTAAATCAAGCTGACGGCTGAGTGGACAGCACTCGGGACTTGTAGTCCTAAAGTTTCATGTTCGATCCCCAGCGGAGGCAAAAACAAATGGATAGTTTCTTTCACCCTGATGACCCTATTCACCTAGCAGTAAATAGGTACCTGGGAGTTAGACAGCTGCTACAGACTGCTTCCTGGGAGTGTGTAACAAAAAGTAGGCCTGGTCGAGAACCGGGCCACGAGGATGCTAAGCCCCGAAATCATCTCAATATAACCTCAAGACAACTTGTTATCCTACAAAGAAGAATACAAAGACATGCATACAGGCACCTGTAATGCATGAGGTGCCTGTATGTATTACAGGCCACACCCCTGTAATGCATGAGGTGCCTGTATGTATTACAGGCCACACTCCTGTAATGCATGAGGTGCCTGTATGTATTACAGGCCACACTCCTGTAATGCATGAGGTGCCTGTGTGTATTACAGGCCTCACTCCTGTAATGCATGAGGTGCCTGTATGTATTACAGGCCACACTCCTGTAATGCATGAGGTGCCTGTATGTATTACAGGCCACACTCCTGTAATGCATGAGGTGCCTGTGTGTATTACAGGCCACACTCCTGTAATGCATGAGGTGCCTGTGTGTATTACAGGCCACACTCCTGTAATGCATGAGGTGCCTGTATGTATTACAGGCCACACTCCTGTAATGCATGAGGTGCCTGTATGTATTACAGGCCTCACTCCTGTAATGCATGAGGTGCCTGTATGTATTACAGGCCACACTCCTGTAATGCATGAGGTGCCTGTATGTATTACAGGCCACACTCCTGTAATGCATGAGGTGCCTGTATGTATTACAGGCCTCACTCCTGTAATGCATGAGGTGCCTGTGTGTATTACAGGCCTCACTCCTGTAATGCATGAGGTGCCTGTATGTATTACAGGCCTCACTCCTGTAATGCATGAGGTGTCTGTGTGTATTACAGGCCTCACTCCTGTAATGCATGAGGTGCCTGTATGTATTACAGGCCACACTCCTGTAATGCATGAGGTGTCTGTATTACAGGCCTCACTCCTGTAATGCATGAGGTGCCTGTATGTATTACAGGCCACACTCCTGTAATGCATGAGGTGCCTGTGTGTATTACAGGCCTCACTCCTGTAATGCATGAGGTGTCTGTATGTATTACAGGCCACACTCCTGTAATGCATGAGGTGTCTGTATGTATTACAGGCCTCACTCCTGTAATGCATGAGGTGCCTGTATGTATTACAGGCCTCACTCCTGTAATGCATGAGGTGCCTGTATGTATTACAGGCCACACTCCTGTAATGCATGAGGTGTCTGTATGTATTACAGGCCTCACTCCTGTAATGCATGAGGTGCCTGTATGTATTACAGGCCACACTCCTGTAATGCATGAGGTGTCTGTATGTATTACAGGCCACACTCCTGTAATGCATGAGGTGTCTGTATGTATTACAGGCCACACTCCTGTAATGCATGAGGTGTCTGTATGTATTACAGGCCACACTCCTGTAATGCATGAGGTGCCTGTATGTATTACAGGCCACACTCCTGTAATGCATGAGGTG